TTTTCAGTTTCGAAAATATTTTTGAAGTGTTTTCCCACATTTTTAAAGAATTTTCATTTGATTCTGCGCTCGTTTACAAGTCCCGAGCACCGGTCTCCCTTGCCGCCTACATTCTCGCTTTTATTTGCTATTTATTATTTCGTTTTGGTTGACTAGTGCGTTAGTTTGTGCAAATGCGACACTCGGCGTCCATTGTGCGCCCAGCTTCGCATTCACTTACATATGTATGTATGTGTGTGTGGTTTGCGGGGGGTAACGAGGCTTATCTAACCTTTTCGGCGTTTAGTATGTACAGACAACAAAGAATGCACTCTAACCGCATTTCTACTATTTGGTTGTGTGACCCGATTGTGCATTGATGCCTACAATATAATTACGTAATATAAATTTAAATTAAATAAATAAATGTTTTTTACACTGCTTAATGTTACAATTAATTTTCGTTCAAGCGTACTTGAATTTACACGCGCTTGTGTGTGTGTGTGTGTTTATCTTTTTTATTTTCAAAATTAATTCAGTCTTTGGTATTATCACAACATTTGTTCATACGATTTGGGGTTTTATTTGCGTTCCATGCAAAAGATATTTAAATAAATTGAAAAAATAAATAAATTAAACAAGAACAGCAACGACGAAAACATATAGTTAAATAGTAACAAATAAATAAATGTGGCTAACAGAAATGAAATCGAGCTGCGAGTGTGTGCAAGTYAAGCCGATATTTTTCGAAAGTTTTCGCATTCATATTTTTACTACGAAACTTCTTGGTTCGCGTCAATTTCGACTTTATTGTGCGCTTCAACGCTCACTTCGCACCAGCAGCGGCTTTATGGTGCCACAGTGTTGCCACTCCGTGCTCAAATTTGCACGCATTTATATTGTTTTCGCATAAATTCTCTCACTTAACTGTCCGACGCAAACAGACTTTTTACGACACACCCAAATCGTACAACAACTGCTGTGCCACAACTTCGCTGCGCTCCTCCACCAGCTGCCCGGTCATCGTGTTGATCAGGTTGAAGACAATGGCGAAGACGGTGAAGGCGCTGTAGACGCCCAGCGCCAGCCACCAGATGAGATTCTCATAAGCGCGATGCTCGAAATTCTTCAGCACCAGCAGACCGATGGTGAAGCCCGCCAACGCGCCAGTCATGTGTGCCACATACGACACTGGCGGCGGATCGATGTTCGGCCAGGTGTGCTCGAGCGGCGTGGGCTTGGTCACACCCTCGGCGTCCAGATATTGTGAATACAATGCATATCCCAGATCGCAAGATACTGCAAGAGAGGAGAAGAGCAAAGGCAAATGGTGTGAACATTAGTACAAATTACAAATTTGTTTATCGAAAGAAAGTGTTACGCAAAGATTACGCAACATAAAAAAAGAAAACCAAAACAGGAAAATAAAAACAAAGAACTAATCTACCAAAAAGCACGAGGCGTGAAAGCGTAACGAAATGTGTTTACTTTGCGCCCACATAGAACGAGGTCAAATCATATCACCGCCGATTAGGCTAGCATTCAAACACCTTTCAACGCCGCAATCACGCGCAGCGCGTAAACAAATCAAAATCGAAATCAAAATCCAATCGTAATGGAAATGGAAATCGAAGTAAAACTTACCAAATATCAGCACCGACAGCAACTGCGCCACCGCGTAGCGCATCTGCCTGTAGTTGAGCGTGATGTTGGCCAAGTGTGCGGCGAGCATTGCGTATACGCCACCGCTGGCGCCCACCAAGTACACCTCCGAGTCAACGACGCTGGTGCCCAGCGAGCCGGCGAACACRCCCGCACAGTAAATGATGCCAATGCGCGCCGAGCCGTGCATCACCTCCAGCGGTATGCCGTAGAAGAGTTGGATGACGACGTTGAAGCCGAGGTGGAACCAGTTGGCGTGCAGGAACATGTAGGAGAGGAAGCGCCACACCTGCAGACGGCGGTCGGGCCGGTAGATGAAYACCGAGTCGGAGGCGATGGGCATGTGTGGAATGAGTTCGCGTGTGGCCTCCGTGCCCGGTACTGTGGCGGAGTCGTAYGCGAAAATTGCGACCTGCAAAAGAGAAAAAATTKAATCATTAGTATGTTGGTTGAAGGATGAGCGGGTACTCGATTGCATTGTAAATGAAAGTATTAAAAAATATGTTTGTCATGTTGCAATGATCCCGAAATTYGGAGTTTTTAAAGTAATGCAGACTTTATTTCGGTCAAAAGTTAAGTTTTTAATTTCTTTCTTTTTCTCTGCCAAGAAGGTCAAGCTTACAATTCGTGCGCGCCAATGCATTCTGCCAGCGTCTGGCAACGCTCACGGCAGCTTAATTCGGAAATGTGGCTGCTGATTAAAATGTCAGCCAAAAGTCAGCTTATTACAAYGGCATCTGTGTGGCTAATAAATGTTGTTGCAGGTGGACGTGGAATTCATTTAGCACTGGCTAAAAGTCGCCATAAATTTTCTTCGCTTTGTGCAGTCACGTGCAATAAATGCGGAAAGTTCAATGAAAATGCGCATGAAAAATTTTTCGAAAATTATTTCTCACAATTTCGTATATATRTATGTTTTTATGTACATATGTATGTATTTGTTAGTTTCATTTCTCATTTCCAGATAAAAACTGAAACATTTAAAAGAAAATATTTCACCGAAACTAAACTTTTCCAGATAGCTGAGCAAATGCAGGAGCATACTTGCAGGCGACTAGCACTGCAGTATTGCCTTGTGTGCGGACAAGCAAACTCAAGTAGCTGAAGTGGAGTGGTTGTCATAAAAGCCTCGAATCGCTTGTGGAAGTTGCAAAGAAATGGGYGCAGCGTGGGGCAATGGCAGTGCGCAACGGCAATTGCTGCCACAACAATGTTAATAAAACGGATAATTTTTATATACACGAGTTGTTGCTTGGCATGTGGAAACTATATAAAACACACCTACACACACACACATGTAAGTGCCTCAACTTGTAAGAGTGGCCATAAAAAGCGAGACAAAGCTGTAATGAATTGAGTAAAATACATATACATATGTATGTGCATGMACTGCACACACACATACATGTGCATGTATGTGTTTTGCATGTGCGTGTGTATGTGACGTTTAGACCGCGGGGTAGTGGACAGCAAACCCAATTGAGTCCAAATATTCGTTGGGACCTAACTGTAAAAAGTTTGAGCAATTGTTTGTCCCACACACACACACACACACGCACACATACATATACCCATGCATGCATTACTTTTTATGTCACTGATTTTTACTGCTGTTTGTCGTTCCCTGTTCACTTTGCTGTTTATTTGCAGTTGGTTTTGTTTTTGTTAGTGTTGTTGTTTTCGCGTTTCAATTTCTAGTTAGTCAAGTCTGTCATGCATGCCGCTTCTTGCTGTACGCTTCGATTTTGGCATATTCTGAAAGGTCCTTCCGCTGCTATTCTGCTTTTCATTGTCCTGACAATAGCAACAACACAAACGACAACAACAAAAGCACGCTCGGCATATTGTGAAATGAAACAAAGAAGTTTCGGAAGTATAGCGTAATAAAATGAAAAATGGCAGCGCATAAATTTCGCATATAAAAACCAGCGGCAAAAACAACAAGAACAACAACTAGACTCGAGTCCAAAGCGGCATTGCGCCTGCAAACACAAACAAACGCATTGTCAAACAGGCAAACGTGTGCGCATTTTTKGTGTCTTGCCCCGACAATGTTGCACGTGCGTTGGTGTGCGTGTCCAGCRCGCCGCCGCCAATACAATGCGTTATGAAGTCACAACTTTGTCGCTATGAAAGCGCCAGTTAAATATTTTGTAGTTGTGACGTTGTTTCCTTGCGTGCTGCCACCAAGCTGYATGTGTGTGTGTTTGTGGTGGTGGTAGMGCCGRGCAACCACTGTCARCCATGAAGGCAGACCGAATCAGACCAGACAATGTTTAATCGATTTTGGGGCGCCATGTGACTTGTGCGCCATCATTTCGCCCCCGCCACCGCAAACGTTGGCTTGCTAGCCGCCGTTGTTATTGTTGCTGCGCACCAGCTAGTTGTAGTGGAGTAAAAGTACTACTTCCGCTTTTGTGTTGTGCCACTTAACAGCGCCGCCGTTACTGGTGTAACGGCATATTGATTTGTAGCCGCGGCCGCACTGCTTGCATGTATATGTGTGTGTGTGGATATTTTTTTGTGTATCTGTTTGATGGTTTTTCTTGCGGCTAGGCTACGTTGTTTGAGCAAATAGGCGCTAGTTTGTGGCAAAGCCTGCTTTTTTGCTGGCAAAACACCGTTGCATGATTAATTTCGAAATCCATTTTTGAGTGGCGCATATTTTAAGAGAATTTATTCAGCATTTAGCGGAAATCTAATTTTTTCAGCGCAAATTATTAATTTCACGCTGCCATTTTCGCGGAATTCACGGTGAAATATTTGTGAAAACATAAATAATGAAAATTATTTTTGTTGTTGTTGTTGTGCATATCTAAAGTAGCGCTAATTTGCATAACATGAGTCATTAAAAGCCGTTAAAAGCGAAAAATAGAAAGTAAATTTTAACAAAAACCAAATTCATTAATTTTTTAAATTCCAGAATTCCAGCGAAACGTCGCCCAAATATCRAATATTCCACGTAGTAATTGTTAAAAAATATTATTATGCAAATTTTCCATGTAATTTTCAATCAATCCCTGCACTTCTAACAATAAACAGTAATCAATTTGAGTATTTAACAAATTTGAATGCCATGAATAATGAAGGGCAACATTGTTTAAAGCATTTAAACACACACATACWTAGAAATGTATGTACTTATCCTCACCTAAAATTTAAAACAACGTATCATCCGAAAAAAAATCGAAAATCACCATCAGATATAATAACCAATATATAACCATTAAATAACCAATATATAACCATTAAATAACCAATATATAACCATTTTTATAACCATTTAATAACCAATATATAACCATTAAATAACAAAAATTCAAATTTTATTACAATATGAGTGGCTTTTATTATATCGTGTAAACTTTTGAAAAATGATGTTACGTTATTCTGTATTTTAGGTGACGATATATGTGAATTTGTGAAAAATGTTTGTTTTTGTGCGTTAAACGGCGTTTAAGTGGATACTTTTTTGGAACGTTGGCTCAATCAATTTAATTATTTTTGTCAGAATTAGTATTTAATTACATTCAATTAATTTCAAATCCTGCGATTGCCGTTTCATATTTCATTAAGCAAAGCGGGAATAAAATGCGCGAGCGTGTGTAAAGTCATGTGTGTATGAATTTGTTGTTAACCGCGAGTAATGGAAAAAATCTGCAACAACAAAAACGGCAAATATTTGCAAGCA